TTCACCCTGCACCCACCCACCCACCCACCCCCCCATGTCGCTTCGTCCTCTCTCGCCCCGCACACTGAAGGCATCATCCCCACAAAACCACAACAATAAAAAAGCCGAAACAAACCCCCTCTGCCCTCGCCCCCTTTTTTCACCTCCCCCCGTCCGTCCGCCCCATCCAACGCAGGGCAAAAGGAACGCGGCGGGCACACACACACACACACACACAAAAGGAAAAAAGGAAGGAGGAAGATGATAGGGGAAAAAAAAAGTATCCACATTTCATTACATCCCTCAACTAATATTGCCTTCCGGAATAGGGGGAGGGGGAGGAAAACACACACAAAAAAAAAAACACAAAAAAAGCATTTAAACGCGCCCAGCGCGGCAAATTAAGGGAGAAAAGAAGCCCATCCGGTGGAAATTACAAGGCTGATAAATCTTCCACATCGTGTATTTTGTGCAGTGACATCCACCTTGTAAATGTTGCGTATACGTCCTTATACATGCATACACAGATACCCCCCGCTCATATACGCAGTCTGTGGGTGTTGTACGCCTTCCCCCACCCACCCACCCACCCACCCAAAAAAAAGGAAAACAAAGAAAAGCACACATCCTCAAAAAATACAAAAAAAAAAGAGGTTAAAAAAAAAAAAATAATAATAATAATAATAACATTTCAACCCAGAAAAAAAAAAAAAAGAAAACAACAACTGCTTACACAAACCTAACCTACCTATTACTTGTGCGAACGACCAGAAAGAAGGAAAAAAAAGAACAGAGAAAAGAAGGCAAACCGAGCTAGGCTGCGGTGGCAGTAATCACCATCATCATCATCGATCCTCAGTGAAAAGCTGCTTAATGAGTTCGGTGTAATGTTTCTCAATGTTACCACGACGCAGCTTCGAGGTGGGCGTCATAAGACCGTTTTCTGGTGTCCATTCGTCGTTCAGTACGCGAACGTACCTCACCAATTCAAATGACTTGCGTCCAGCCTTCTTCGCCGTGGCGGCCAACGACTCCGCTGCCTTTTTGTGAAAAGTCTCGTTATTAAGCAGATCCTCCAATGAACCTCGCAGACCGTGTTTTTCAGCAAAATTGGCCGCCCTTACAGCATCTGTCAGCACCAGCGCGCAAATGTACGAACGAGCAGGATGGACAAGCACACACACACCATTAGGCACGCAAAGTGCGTTGTCTACATACATGGACTCCAGTGCCTCCATCGCAATGTACTCTCCCAGCACATTCTTCGCCAGTGCCTTCACACGGCCAATAATACGCAGGGAACCGTTCGCCGTGATGCTGCCAACATCACCCGTGTGAAACCAGCCATCCTCGTCAAGAGCCTCTCGCGTGAGTTTTTCCTGCATGTAGTAGCCCTTGAAGAGGAACGGACCCCGCAGAAGAATCTCCCCCCGCGGCTCGGGGGTGTCCGTGTGCTTGTACTCATCCACGTCCAGCAGCTTCATTTCTGCTGTCACAAGCAGCTGACCAACGTCGTTTGTTGCTATGTATCCCAGGCGCTGCGTCGCACCGCAACACACCGTCTCTGTGAGACCCCAGCCCTGAATCACCATCGGACCGCCAAAACAAACGTCAATAAATTCCTGCGTCTCAGCACTAAGAGGGCCGCCGCCGGAAAGCATTGCGTATGTTTTTCCCCCAAGCAACTTGAGCGCATCGCTAAACACCTTTTGATTCCAGAAAGGCGTGTCATATTCCCTCATGATGGCCCTCAGACGTGAGGTGAATGCCTTGTCAAATATCATTCGTCTTAAACTATTCGGAGGTGGAATCTTCCTCTCTACACCCTTCTTGATCGTGTCAAAGATGCGCGGCACGCCAATGATAATTTTTGGGGAAAACTCTTTGAAATCACCGTGCGGAATGGCAAATTCGTCTGTAAGGGTCCGGGGATTACAAAACCCAACCAGACTGCCTCTTTTCAAAAAGATGTTTACAATGCCAAACTCGAGAATATGTGCAAGTGGCAAGAAAGCACAGTACGTTTCCGTTTCTGCTGTCGAATTGTAAAGATCGCTTAGTCGCTCTTCAAGAGCATTAATACCCGCGGCAATCGAACCGTGAGTGTGAATGACGCCCTTTGGATCGCCGGACGTGCCACTTGTGTACATAATCATCGCCTCAATGTCGTTGTCGGTGGGAATGTTTATGGCATGTTTTGCCTCCGCGCCCTTTTTCACAACATCCGTCCACGCAACGATTTGATAGTCACCCTTGTCGACATCAACTGGAACGCTATCGAGGCAAACAATGATGGGATGTAGCCCTCGTTCACGGAGCAGCGTGAGAAGCATCTTCAGTGTCCGGCCACTGCAAATGATAACCGCTGAATCGGTCTCCGAGAGGGCGTATCTCAAGGCATCTTCACCGAGGTTCGCATAGACCGTCGTGGCGACCATGTTATGCGTCCAGATACCGTAAATAGACACAAGCCATTCCCATCGCGTGTCTTCATAAATGGTGATCTTGCTACGCTGAGGCACCCCAAGCTCAAGTAACCCCGAGCCGAAGGACGTAATGTAATGCCATAAATCCTCGTAAGACACCACCTGACGCCCACGGAAGTGATAGTAGTCAAGCGTGCGCTCAGTCCCATCCGCATTGCGGACGGAGCGGCGCTCTAATCGCTCTAGCGGACGGTAAGCAACAGCAGGACGTGGGCCCAATGTTTTGCATTTCTCCTCAAGCGTTTGCACACAATTTCTTGCACGGTATTCCTCCTGAATTCGCCGGTGCTCCGCCTCGTTTCCAGTTCGACTGTGGCGGTAGATGGCCGATGTCGTTTCCGTCTCTGTTCCAGGCAGCGTCAATGTCAGCTGCTCCCTCTTTCCGGTAAGGACCGGATGTGGCACCAAAGACATGCTGTTTCGCAGGTCCATCAACGTTGATATCAAGCCCCCCATTTTGCCTGCTGCAGGTCAAAATCAGGTTGTAATAAATTAAAAATAATAATAAGTAATAAATGAATAATAACGGAATGTAATATAGCCGCTTCAAGGATACTTCTTTAACAATAATAATAATAGTAATAATATATATATATATATTTATATATTTATATTTATATTTATTATATATTTTACCCACCCGCTCAATTACTCAAATAATCTGTGTCTCTGCCTCTCTGTGTGAGTGTATGTGAGCGTGGCCTAACCCTCCTACTTTTGTTGTTGTTTTTTTTTTTTTTTTTTATCGCCTTCTTCTTCTTGTTTTTGTTGTTTGGCTGTTCGCCGCTCTCAGTGCGCTACAATTAAGTGTGCGAGGCACCAACCAAAAAAAAAAAAAAAAAAAAAAAAAGAGAGGGAAGAAAGCAAAAACTTTATACGCACGTCACAACATGTATTGTGCCTCGCGTGTGGAATTCAAAAAAAAAAAAAAAAAAAAAGGGCAAATGCCGCTGCTCCTCTACCTCGCGGATGTGATGCAAAAAAAAAAAAAAAAAAAAAAAACCATCGCATTTATGTTTTAACATTTTTTTTTCTCGTGTTTATTCTAAAATGAAAAGGGGGAGGAAGTGATTTCTGTTCCCTCCCCTCCCCCCCACGTCGCTACCCTCCCCGGCCAGCAAACGGAATGAATGGCAAAAGAAAAAAGAGCATCATGCACACACACACGGGGGAAAATAGAGAAAGTGAGAGAAAAAAGGGGGAACCAACGTATAAAGCAAGGGAACAGCAGGAATAATAACAATAATACATGTCTGTACCCAACAGACATGTGCACACACTGAGTCCAGCAATCAACGCTAAGAAAAGACTCAACGGATGCCTCATGTCAGGCATAAAATCCCATTTATTTCCCTTTTGCTTTTCCTTCTTCACTGTTCGCCTCTTCTCTCCATCTTTGTTGCCTTAAGAAGAACAAAAAAAAAAAAAAAAACGCCTCCGGCCATGCAGAATAAAAAGGCAGCGTGCGTGTGTGTTTGCCCCTCCCCACCACCACCAAATGCAGTACGCCACGGCACAAGGCAAGAGAGGAAGGGGGAAAAAAAAAAAAAAAATGCATGAATACGATGTAGAAGGCACACACACACACACACACACATAAAAAAAAAAAAAGGAAGGACATCCTAAAGGGTCCCCTCCCTCTTCTCGGATCGGCTTACACGACATGTTCTTCTTCTTCCTCCCTCTTCCTCTTCTATATTTCCTGCTCGTTCTCGTTTCCTCCGCTCCATCATCGCCATTCTGTTCGTTGATGCTGTTTCCGTTTATTTAATTCTTATTGTTGTTGTTGTTGTTATTTTGTTCCTCTTCTCCTCGCCCCTCTAACTTTCATTATTTCTTCCTCCCTCCCGCTATTCTCCAACTGCACGCATGTCCGCTCCAAAAGTTCCCATCAACGATTACGCCCAAATTTTCGTCCTTCTCAGACGATTTCTCTGAAATGTTGATTTTAAAGAGTTGACTGCTGCGAGTGGGTGGGGTGGGTGAAAAGAAAGAGAAAGAAAGAAAAAAAGAGAGAGAGAGGAAAAAAAAAAAAGAAAGAAGCGTCACTCGTCCTCAAAGAGCTGCTCAATGTAATCCGCGTAACGCTTATCAACGGCAGAGCGACGTATCTTCATGGACGCTGTCATTATTCCGTTCTCCGGCGTCCACTCGTCGTTCAGCACCCGCACATGTCGCAGCAGCTCAAAGGGGCGTCGTCCCTCCGCCTTCGCCAGCGCCGTAAGTGCCTCCGCTGCACGTTGATGAAACAACGGCTCCTGCAAGATCTCCGGCCAATTGCCAGGGATTTTGTGAACAGAAGCGAAATTCATTGCCTTCGGCTGCTCCGTCAAGACAAGGGCGCAGATGTACGCACGCTGTGGATGGACAAGCACACAGACGCCGTTCGGAGACACCAACTCATGCTGCCCATACAAGGCTTCAAGGAACTCAATGGCAATGTACTCCCCCAACAGGTTCTTTGCCAGCGCCTTCACACGGCCAATAATACGAAGACACCCGCTGTCATCCATCTCCACCACGTCACCCGTATGAAACCAGCCGCCTTTTTTTGTAAACACCTCACTTGTCGCCTCCTCCTGCTTCAGGTAGCCCTTAAAAAGAGCTGGGCCCCGTAGTAAAAGCGCACCACGTGGATAAGGCGTATCCGTGTGCTTGTACTCTTCCGTGTCGCACAGTTTCGCTTCAACACCCTTTAATAACTGACCTGCGGCAGGGTGCAACTCCCCTGTCCGCTGTATCGACCCGTTGCAACACGTCTCAGTCAAGCCATAGCCCTGGGCCATGGGAACGCCGAACACAACGTTCATAAACGCCTGCGTCTTGCTACCAAGTGGGGCACCGCCGCAGACGATACCCCGCAGTTTACCACCAAACATGGCCCGTGGGACACTAAACACCTTTTCATTCAAAAAGGGAGTGTCTTTCCCATCCTCTATCGCCCGTAGTCGCGCGGCATATGCCGCGTCAAAAATAGAGCGTTTTACACTACCCACTGGTGGGAGTTGACTCTCTACGTTCTTTCGTATGGTCTCAAAAATACGTGGGACGCCAACAAACATCATGGGCCTAAATTCCGCTAAATCCCCACGTGGTCGTGCGCTCATGTCACTAAGGGTGCGGGGGGAACCGTAACACAAGAGGGATCCACGATTGAGCATAATAATTTCGGTAATAAACTCCAAAATATGGGCTAGGGGCAAGTAGGCAAGATATGTCTCCCCTTCCTCCTTTGGGCCCAACAACTCCGTCAGACGATCTCCAAGAGCGGCTGCACCGGTTTTAAGTGAACCAAAGGTATGAATAACGCCCTTTGGTTCTGCTACGGTGCCGCTCGTGTACATGATGAGAGCTGTGCGATTACAGTCACTCGGTATAGTGTATGAAAAGCAACTCTGGAGACCCTTTTGCAGCACATCAGTCCATGACAGAAGCATCATACCCTCGGCGTCAACGCCGGCAGGAAGCGCATCAAGATAAATCACCATGGTGTTATCCAGTTTTGCTTTGTGCAAAAGAGGCACCAACTTTTTAACGGCATTTCCATTACATATCAAAGCCGGACATTCAGCCTCCTTGAGAGCATGCAGTAAAGCGGCCTCACCAAGGTTTGCGTATACAGTCACACTGATCAGTCCCTGTGTCCATCCGGCGAGCACTGACGCAAGCCATTCCCAGCGTACATCTTCAGCAATGGCGACAGCCGCGCCTTCCGCAAGCCCCAACTCTCTAAGTCCCTTTCCAAAGGCAATAAGCCTGCTCCAGAGTTCATTGTATGTCATGTAAGTGGGATCATTGAGGTACGTCACTTCCCAGTCTCGTGTGTGCCCCTTAGAGTCCGTTTTCTTCTCCGTTTCAACCTTCTGAACTGTGCGGTATGCAAGCGCGCGGCGATCACTCCTCTCTGCGCAAATTTCTTCCAACCGCTGCACTATGTTTTCACCCTCGTACCATTCCTTGCAAATCCGTCTGTGCTCCTCGTCTGTAATGCCTGCGGCACGATACACTGCGGAGGAGACGTCGTCCTCCGGCGGTGCGCACGCCACAGCCACAGGTCCATAGCGACGCCGCTCCTCAATGTAGCGATCAGGCACCTCGCTTATGCGACTTCGTCGCACCATCAATGATGCCAAGCAAACCCCCATTTCGGCTCCTTCGCGCACCCCCTACACAGACAAAAATAAATAAATTTAAAAAAATAAATAAATAATAAAAGAGAAAAGATGAAGCAGGCATAAAATGTTCATAGATGACCCCCCACGCACACGCGCACGCGTTTGCCCTTCCCCCACTTCCCTCCCATCGGTTGGTTAACCCTCCACACGCACACGGCGGCGCCACACCTTTCCCTCTCTTTCCATATCCGTTTCTTTTTTTCTCTCTCTCTCTCTCTCTTTGTGCAGAACGCCCAAGAAAGATTTCCGTAGCGCCCTCACATTCCTGAACTGATTATGGATTATTTGCTTCTTTTTCTCTTTGTTGTCCTTTTTTTTTTTGTTTTTTTTTTTGTTGTTTTGTTGTTTTGTTTTGGTTCCTCCTAAATTAATGCGCCAATGTGCGGGGCATATGCCTCTCCCGCATGTAAATTCGCGTGAGATGTTTTCATGGGTTTTTAGTTGTTGGTGTTCTTCTTTCTTTTCGGCGGCCCCCCTCGCTGTTTGTCCCCCCAAAAAAATTTTATTTCCCCTCGTCTTCTTAAAAAAAAAAAAAAAAAGGAAAAAAAAAAAAACAACAACATGCCTCGGTGCATGCCGGCCTGAGTGACTCGCTCCCTTAATGACCCATTCTGCCTCGCTGCCTCCACACACACACGCACCCCGTTGCTCTGGCACACCTCTCGTCTGTTCCCCACCGTCCAACAATGTTGTATCCATCCATCTCTCTCTCTCTCGGGTCCCGCCTCCCCCCCCCCCAGGCACTCGCTGCCGCTGCTGTTGATTTTGTTGTTGTTTTGACGCTCGGCGGGCGGGGATTTCTCGTCTCTTTTTTTTTTTTTTTTTTTTTTTTTTTTTTTTGCCGTCGTTTTATTTTTTCGGGTTTGTTTTGTTTTGTTTTGTTTGTTTTTTTTCAATTTTTTTCTTCTGCTGCGGGCAAACCACAACAAAAACACAAAAGTTTCGTTTTGTAGGGAAAAACAAAAAAGAAGAAAAAAAAAAAAAAAAAAGGAGGGAAGACGGGGGACGTCACGGTGAATGGACAAAAATACGCCCAAAAAAAAAAAAAAAAAAAAAAAAAACCACAACAACAAACTCAGGAAAAATAAAAATTAAAATAAAAAAAGTGAAAAGAAGAAGAAGAAGAAGAAGAAGAAGGAGAAAAAAAAAAAAAAGGAGAAAAAAAAAAAAGATGTGTGAATCCAGTGCATGTATGCATTGGAATGCGTGCCTGTTATTCCTTCAATTTCCTTCTTTTTTCTCCCCCCGCTAAACCCCTCCCCCAATCCCCCCTCTTCGTTTGTAATGCCTTTTCCTCTTCAGTATCGCTTACATACACACATATATAATACATTACATGTGTGTGCATACATATATATATATACATACATAGATAGATACATATATATGGGAAGAAGGGGGAATTCACAAATAACGACAACAACAACAATGAAGAAAAACGAAGAAAAAAAGATAATAATAAAAAAATTTTTTATTTCTTTTCTTTTGTTGTTTTCGTGTTTGTTTGTGTTTTCTTTGCTCCCGTGTGCGTGCATGTATTTTGCATGTAGCCGCAGAAGAGGTTTACTACTTCCGTCTAAAAGATCCCCCTCCTCTCCCCCCTCTTCCTGCCACCAAATGCAGCTGCCACGTAAAATTTAAAGAAAAAAAAAAAAAGAAAAAAAGAAAAAGGAAAAGGGACCCTCCCACCTGCCTTCTCTCGCATATTGAATTTAGCCACACACACACACACACAGAGAGAGAGAGAGGGGAGGGGAGGGAGGGAGGGAGGTGGAGGAGACGCAAAGTAGACACGCACGCAATGGAGAAAGATAAATAAAGAAGGGCAGAGGAGGAGAGGGGAGGGGAAATACCCGCATGCGCCCATAGATAGCACATGAAAAGAAAGAAGGAAAGACCTTTAAAGAAAAGAAAAAAAAAAACACCAAAAATATATAAAACAGCACACACACACAACATAAAAAAAAAAAAAAAAACAATCCAACAATCACTTGCGTTCATCACCGGCCTCAGAGTCTCTTCCCCAAAACCTCCCAGTCATCTCCACCGTCACTCCGCAGCCACATCCACTTTTTTAGAGCTGGCAGGCTCCTGTGTACACTGCAATGCACACTCAGTCTCCCTTTCACTCACTTCACACAAGGTCCCTGCTCCCGCGGATTTCTTTTTACTTTTTTTCTTTTTCTTCTTCTTGGCTTGGCTCACATTTTCGGCATCCAAATGCTTGACGTTGTTTAGTGAATTCGCGTTCACATTATCCTCCTCCCCCTCTGCAGAGGCAGTGTTCAGTTTCACTCCATCGCGTTGTGAATTCTTCGTGCCCTTGCGCTCGGTAGCTCCTTTTTTCGTCGTCTTCTCGACCGTATCCTCTGTGGCTGCACTGTTCCTTCCCGACTGCTTCTGCTTCTGCTGTTTCTGCTTCTTTTGCTCATTACGACTCGTGGTAGCTTGGTCATCCTTGTTCTTTGCTTCTTCTTCTTCCTCCTCCTTCCCCTTGTTGAAGTTGGACCGGCAATTGATGCAGTAGAACTCACCTGTGCGGCGACGGGTGCGCTCCCGGTAGCCCTTATTAAATTCCCCGCATTCACGACAGAACTCCCAGCCCAGTTTGGCCCAACAACTGTAGCAGTAATATTTATTGTCCTCCCTGTCAAGGCGGAGATCCTCCGCTTGTTTCTTCTTCAGGCACTGAGTGCATGCATCTGGAACGGGCATCAATTTTTTGCCGCCATGTGTTTTTTCTTGGCGTGACGCCCGGTTGTTGCCTCGTTTATCGTTTCCGTCCCTCTCATTGGCAGTATTTGGCTCTCGACGATCGCGATCACGCGTCGGAGGATGTCTTTGATCCTGCTGGTTGTGGTTTCTGCGCGGATTCGCAGTTGAGACGTTTTTGTGTTTCTCCTCGAGATCCTCCGTGCGCACAATATGCACCGATGAGACCATCGTCGTTAACAGCTGCAGTGGTGAGAGAGCACTTGAGTCAGGGGCCGTATTGCCGTGTTTCGGTTTCTCCATCTTGGACTCCGCCAATGCATGCAGCGAGCTGTGCACATTCGAGAGAACTTTGGAGTGCGGTTGCGAAGAAACCCCATGCAATTGTGAGCCTCGTGTGAGGGAACCTGGCACCAACAACTCCTGATACGAAACACTATCTGCCGAAGGTGCTGACATCCGCATTGGCGCATGCGATTGGGCATTACTTTGCTGCATCATGAGAGCAGTGGCGTACGTGGGCAACGACGCTGAATGAAGCGTCGGGGACTTTGACGGAGTCGATCCCGGTGATGGAAGCAGTGTCGCCAGGGACCGCATTGCCGACGTTTCATTCGTCGTCGGGGGAACGATCTTCTCGTGAGTCAGCCATTGCAGTAACTTCGCTTTGGGGATAATACAATGCTCGAGCAAGAACGTCACATCCCGCTTATATGCAGGACGAAGCACATCGTAGCGGATCCGCTGAAATTTCCAAGTGCACTCCTTCTCATCAGAAAGGACGCAGGTGCAGATACAACCTTCCACCACATCCGAGTGTTTCACCTCAACTGTACAGTCCTCGAACTGTGTGTATTCCTTCTCGTACTTATCATACACCTCCAGCTCAAACGTGCGCGTGATGTGGCCCTCGGAATGGGCACCTCGACCGGCCCCAACCGTACTGCTCGTGCATTGAGATGCTGAAAGTGTGCTCGCCGCCTGATTCAAATCAGCTGGTAGCGGCTGCAAATTTGACTGCTGCGCGGTGTGGGAAAAAGAGCTGTTGTCAACATCATTTGTTGCCGCAGCCTCCTCCACCGGCGCTGCCTTTGTTGCCGTCGCTGCCTCCTTTGCATCACTCTCCAATAAATACGTGTCGGTTTTGGAACTTCGTAATGTGCCAATGCGGAAATCCACAGTTATATTCGATGGCGGGCGCCAGACGTACAATTTGTCGTAGCCATGCGCAGGGTTGATGGGCTGAAAAAGAATGCCCTCTGATGTGTTCTCGGCAGAATTCAACAGGTCAAAAATTTCCTCCAACTTCAATGTCGCCTGATGGACCACGACACACTCGGATCCCGTGGAGAAGAATGCCTTACTCTCCGCGCACATGTGTGTGGCGAGGAATGCCTGACGATCGGCCCAATTCATCGGCCCCACTTTATTCTCCTCCGGCTTCCCCGCGTTACTCCAGAAGAAGACATCAAAAACAAGAAATTTCTCACAATTACGCTCCTTTGGAAGCCGCACCAAGTCGCCCTCCAGCACAAAGCACCCAATGGAGTCAAGCTTCGTCCCCAGCCACGCCTTCTCGGGTATCCGCAACACGGCTTTGAGGTGTGTGGGGATGAGGTATAATTTTGCATCGTGATACATCAGCATGTGACGAGTGCCATCGTTCAGACGCCGCACACCGTAGTAGGCCTTGATCGCGGAGACTCGATTCTTGTCAGACATCTCCCGGGTTGAAAAAGGGGTATAATCCGTCGTGCCAGGATAATGTACAACTCCCTTTGGAGGTTTTACAAGCTCAAGAAGGCGTGTGACAACATCACAGTACTCCACATGATCGTCCACCATTGTCGCCGCCGCCGAGCTAACATACAGGTCTGTCCGTATCCCACGCTGTGGGGGCTGTGCACAGCAACCAAGTACCATTGTGCACAATGCATTTAAAACCTCCTCCTTCGATTTCGCTGCGTCAATCCCGCGGTACATTCCTGCAGCCTTTGCAAGAGCACGAACTCTAGCATGGATAACACGATGGTACTTAATTTTTTCCCGCATTTCTTCACCACCATTCATACGCTTCAAAAGCACACCGTCGTCGTTCACCTCCATTCCCACAATGCCAACAAATGGAATCTGCTTCGCCTTCAGCAGTGAGGCAAGGTAGTACACATCCTCAATACCCTTCACATTTTTGTCAATAACAAGTCCCTTAACATTGCGTTCTTTACGCTGTTGCTCAAGAAGTTCGTCCAGACGTTTCTGCAGAGCATCGAAAATCTCCTTTGTAGTCTCCCATACAGGTCGTTTTGCTGTTGTCCCTGCAAGAAAATCGGCACCAGAAAAGAAGATCCACCCAAGGCCATCCCTCCTGAGTTCATTGACTAGTTCTCGTCCCATTTTAGTCTTCCCAACGGCAGGAACGCCGGAAAGCAACACACATGAAAACTTTGGCGGCTCCTTTGATACCAAAGCTGCTAAAGTGGCATTACCGACACTTACTCGCGTATTTTTTGGCATCGGTAGAGGCCTTCCCGACTGATTTTGCTGTTGAGGCTGATACTGTTGTTTCTGTTGTTGCAAGGATGCCACCAATGAAGCCGCAAAGGATGAAGGCGGTGGTGGTGGTGGTGGTGGTGGTGATGGTGGCGGCGGCGGCGGTGGCGGAATTGTGCCGTTGGTAAACAATGTGGATAGCAAGGCCGGATCAGGACCTTTTGTCATCAGCATTGCTTGCATGGGAATTCCCACTGGAGTACCGAACGGTATTCGTCCACACTGAGCTGGCATGAATGACGGCGGTGGCGGTGGTGGTGGCGATGTGGATTGAAGTGCTCCAAGTCCTGAAAAAAAAGATGAAATGATAGGGGGTGGCGGTGGTGGTGGTGGTGGTGGTGGTGGCATACCATGTGGTGCGAGATAAAATGCTCCCTGGGGCGGTGGTGGCGGAGGGGGAGGCAGTGCCGATGGCATCAGTGACGACACCACAATTGGCGCCTGATACATAGGTGGCGGCTGTAATGGTTGATGCAATGGCGTCCTTGTGCTGCTCCCTCTCATCTCCGCCATGGCGGGGGTGTTTGGCTGCCTGTAATTAGATTTCTGGGCACCAGGGGGTGACTTTTTCCTTCTGTTCTTCCCAGTCAAAGAGGACGACTTCGACTTGGTATCGAGCTTCTGCTCCGCAGATGGTACCTTGGGCGTTGCTCCATCCATAACCCTCTCGTTTAAAGTTGCCTTACTGGCCAACTCATGGGCCCCGCTCATGTCCTCAGCACATGCATCGGACTTTTTCGGCACCTGCTCCAAAGCCAGAGCAATCTGGGCAGTGGATAATGCAGAAACCGGTTCTCCTACATTATCGCCCGTACTGTGAGCTGCGCCAACAACCGTAGCAGTAGCAACCTCCTGTTCGGTCGTAGGGCCGGTACCAGTCGTACTAGGAGGAGGAATTGTGGCTTCTGTTGTTGCCTTTGTTGTTGTTGTTGTTGTTGTTCCGGTACTAACAGCTGGGATAATAGTCATTTCCGCCGCAGCAGCAGCAGCAGTAGTAGTCGTATGAGTCGTGTTCATAGTGGCGTTGGTGCTGGTGCTGGTGGTGGTTGGGAGTGCTTCCCCTTCAACGCCCTGAACAGTGACGAGAGCAGCGGTGTCGTCGGCCGGTGTTGGCTGTGTTTCTGATGACATTTTACAGCCTAACGTCTACACGAATAATTCCTGGTGATAATATTATTTATTATTATTAATATTATTATTATTATTATTATTATTATTTTTGTTGTTGTTGTTGTTGTTATTTTCCTTCAAGAAATTGGGAATACCTCAGCTACGACTTTTTTTTTTTTTTTGAAATGTTTCTCCTTGTTGTTGTTGTTGTTGTTTTTGTTTTCGTCGTCCTCTCTTGTATGGATTTCTTCCTCCTCACACGCTTTCTCTGTCTTGCTGCCAATTGCTCTGTCTGTGTGTATTTCGTGCCGCCAAGGAGTTTCACGGTGTCGTCCGTCTCTTTTTTCGGTGTTGTTTCTGTTTTTGTTTTCCTCCACGCTTCAACGGGACGTCAATAATAAAAAAAAAAAGAAACAGGAAGGGAGGGGGAAGGGGGGCAGGGGGGCAGGGCGGGGCGGGGCAAAGCGGGGCGGGGTGAGGTGGGGGTGGGGAGAGCGCAAATTATGTTCGCGTGGGTGGATGTTCCTTCGATCCTTCCCTTCCGAAGGCTGTGGACGCTCGGCGATCGCTCTCGGCACACACGCACGCCTTCGCTTCTTCCTTTTGTCCTGTTCTCCTTTTATCCCTCTCTCTCTCCTGCATGCAGACGCACAGTGGCGGTGTTGGCCGTGTGCTGGCAGTTGAAAGAATCATGGGAAAAAGTCAAACAAAAAAAAAAAAAGGAAAAAAGGGGAAAAAAATAGAAAAAAAAAAAAAAAAAGAAAACTAAAGTCGCCTTAACAAATGCACACAGACAGACCTACAAATGAGTAGACATTATATACATGTCTATATATATATATATATATATATATATATATATATGCATGTATACATGTATGTACATGCGGAAAAGCTTATTTGCCCCCATATATATAAACACACGCCGAGGCGGTGAAAAAGGACGACAAAATTCAGTGAATGACGTGAACAAAAGACCGGTCGGACGCAAAAAAAAAAAAAAAAAAAAAAAACGGCCCACGCCCTCCGGTCCACAAATTACCGCCACCACCGTCAGTGAAAACACCAAATACAACAATTTTTATCACTTCCATTTTTGTTTTTGTTTTTGTTTTATTCGTCGTCCCGGCCATTCCCCCCTCCCCTCCCCAAAAAAAAAAAAAAATCATCTTTTTTATTTTTTTCCTTCATTTACGGACGTGCCCACCAAATGCACACAGTTGCGTGTGCGTCCTCATAGGGATGCGGAAGGCGACGTGGTGAGGTCCTTGCTGTCGGCCAGTTTCACTCCGTTGCGCAGCAAATCGCCCCTCTGCTTTGAGATGTTGTCTGGAAACACGGCCCGAGTGGCGTCTTCGAGCACAACGACATCAAACATCTCCTTCACGGCGTCCAGTGCTGTGTAATAGACGCAGAAGTCGAAGGCCACACCACAGATGAAGACACGGCGTACATCCATTTCCCGCAGCAACGTGGCGAGGCCGGTTTTCTTGCCGTTCACGTCGCTAAAGCAGGAATAGCACTCCGCGTCCCTGTCTGCTCCCTTGTGTATCACGCAGTCCATGCGTCCAAGCCGCAGTGAAGAATGCAGCTCGGCACCGTCTGTCCCCTGGACACAGTGGGGCGGCCACTGTCCACCGGGTCCTGCAGGTTTGCAGAACGAGGAGTGATCCGGTGGGTGCCAATCCTTTGCCACGGCAATGGTGCGGAATTTGTGGGCCTGGCAGACGTGGTTGATTACAGGGATCACCTCCATCGCCCCAGGGACCGACAGTGCCCCGCATGGGCTTACAAAGTCATTTTGCATGTCCACAACGACAAGAGCATCGTGCAGCGGTGAAACGGCAATCAACGACGGACTCTTCGCGGGTCCTGAAGACTCACCCGCACAAAAGTCTTTACCCATCTACTCCTAACCCTTTTCCTTGCAAAGCAACACAGAAAGGGAAAAAAAAAAAAGAGGTCCTATAACGTATCCACAGACACACCTGGGGGAATAAAGAAACAGCCACCGCCTCACAACCGTCAAAAGCACAACAGCCACCCATGCCGCCGCCCCGTGCAGCACGGCACAGAGAAAAAAATAGGCCCTGAAGAGGCTCATGACGGAAGAGCGGTACCCCTCCGGCATGAACGCCGCCCGCAAAGTCGCGCTGCAGGGCAAAAAGAGGCCCAAAACCACCTCTAGCAATGTCATTGCCGTCAGTTTGTTGAACTTGCCCCCCAGAGCAGGCAAGCAGCGACATAGTCGCCGCGGCAAAAAAAAAAAAAAGGCGTACAGGGCGCCCTCAAAGAGGGCCTCGACTGCACACCTACGAATGCAATGCAGGCATCACTACACACGGTTCTGGAGGCAGCAAGCAACTGCTGCCAAAGACTGTTTTGTCGGGTTCCATAATTCACTGCCCACGTCGTCAACAAAAAAAATAGGGCAGACAATAAGCAAAACTGCGCTGACGTCAAATGGCGCAGCGGGAGGCTTACATGTGTCAACGGCCCACTGCGCCACAAGCCCGGAGACAAATGCTATTAACCCATTTCCAACACTAACAAGTGAGAACCTTCCCTCCCCACCCAGCGACACTAAATCATAGCCATGTGCGTAATGCTCACTGATCATCCAGCTCTCAAAGACAGACCACAACAACGACGTTGCCACAGCGTCCAGCATTAGACCAAAGATCAGCACAGTGAAGCTGCTGAGGTGTTTCGTAACACACAGCTGAGTGCATAAATCACACAGTACAGCCGGCACAAGGTCCTTCGACCACACATGTCACCAAATGAGCCAACCCATGCCCCAAGCAGCAACAACAAGCCAAATCCAACAGTAAACAAAACGCCACTTCCGTGACGGCTCAGCCCATAATACCAGTAAAAACGATGAATTTAAAGTCCTTGCATCCATTCTGCAGCCATGGCCAAAAACTACACCAGCAGAAACTGAACCTAAAACTTCTTAAAGGTGAATGACGAGACTTTGAAGAAGGATGTTGCTTCAATATATTTGCTGCCACACATGCATATGCCAGTAACCAAGCAAAAGAATATCATTACGCCAAGAAAAATCTAGTACATATCTTCCATTCGGCGTTTCTTGAAGTATTCTTACTGTTAATATAAAATTTCAGGGAAAAAACAAAAAAAAACAATAATTTCCTCCCCTTCTTCTTCTTTTTCCCGTTTGTTTTTCCCCCACTAGAGAGTAAAAGCGTCGATGTAAACTAAACGAATAAAACCACTGATGTCATGGCCCCTTTCAATACCCCCCATATATAAACGCAGCCATTGTGCAGAAACGCAATACCTCTCTTTTTCCCTCAGTCTCTCTCACTCTCTGTGCAAGTTGTCTTCTATAACTGACACCCCACTCACAGTAAGCATCTGTAGTCAGCATGTTGGTCACTACCACGTTAAACAAAATGAACAAACAGACACACACATAAAAAAAAAAAAAAAAAAAATGCCGAACCGCCTTCTACAAGAAGCCCGCGGCCCATGCCTCCATAACCCCTTGGGCCCGTCTAACAACGCAAGTAGCAAACGGGCGGTCTAAAGCATTAACACCGCATTCTGCCAAGCGAGTGTACAAGGAAAGACTCCCTGGTGGGATCTCTAACAACTCCCTTCGTCGACAATAAACACGTCTTTCTCTGTCCCCCTCCCCCACTTCTCTTCCCCCTGCATCATTTACGTCATCCACTGTACTGTTGTGGCTGCTGGTGCTGCTTCCAGTATCGTCTCCTTCCCGCACCGCATAGAGACTGTTGAGTTGTGATAATGGACCGTGTTGCTGTAGTACCTCTGCCTCCGTACGCGACACATCACCTGGCCCAACGGGATTATTACTATTATTGTGAGCACAGACAGTCTGAATAGAACTGGCTCTCAACGGGGTGCCATGACCCGGATGACTCACAGATTTCCTTGGAGTCAATCGTGCTTCACGACCGCGTAGGCTGCACTCCGCAGTCAGTCTCGATGTCGCCCCGCCCTGCAAACACCTCGGTGGGGACGTAGCAGTTATTTTGATACCATTGTGCTCGTCAAAAGCCGGTGCAGCCACAGGCGAGTTGGAGTGGCTTGGTCTGTTCCCCTCCTCCTCTCGTTCCTCCGAGGAACTCGTGGAAGGCTGCAGCACACACACCGCGGGCACGCTCGCATGAGCCATGGCATCCATCAGCTGCTGCGTAAATTCTTCAATCTGTCGAGAGCTATGCCGCAAAGCAGGGGTCGCAGCATTAGTGGCCGAAGCCACAGCTGTTGCCGTGGCTGCCACTCGCTTCTGTCTTTTTGACCGCCCGGCCACCATCGCCCTCAATGATGGTGTTCCTGCCGTCTCACTTTACTTCTCCGGCCGCTATCACCTCCCAACAAAAACAACAGCAGCAGCTGCAGCAGCTCCCACCTCAAACGTTTTTTTTTTTTGTTTTCCCTCTTTTCTTCTTTCTTCGGTCCTCCCGCCTGCTCTCTCTTCTTCCACGCGTGTCACACGGCAACAAAAAAATAAATAAATAAAAAAGAAAAGAAGCGTAGGAGGAGAGAAAAAGATGGGTGGGTGAGCATGAAACTCCGTCCTCTCAGCAGTGATCCATTCAATTAGATAACCAGACAGTAGTGGTTGGAGCAAAAGGCAGCGCGGCCTTCCGTCACTTTACTCGTCCGCCACGCACGTACACGCACAGAAACCAATATAAATCAAGAAAAAAAAAATTTTTGTACACATCAATCCATGCTTTTCAGCAACAGGTCCAGCTTTTCTTGTAAACTCTCCAGCGTAGCCCTCTTCAACGCCAGCTGCTCCATCCCGCGCCGCGAAGCCTCGTCAATCCTTCGTCTTGTTTGCTCAATGTGGGTGTGCAGGCTTTGAATGACTTGGGACTGCAAAAACAACTCCTCGTGCAGATTCTCATTCCGTACTGCCTCCAGTTTTACAAGCCGATAAAAAGAAATCTTTTCACGAAGAGCCGCACGGCGCATGCCGCTCATGTACTCTGAAAAAATTCGCCGACGCTGCCTTTGCTCCGCAGTCACCAACTTCCGCAACATCGCCGTGGACGGCTCCGATGTTGCCTCGGCTGTCGTCACTGCCGGCGCAACCCCTCCTGGCCCCCCCTTTATCACCCCAGTCTCTCCCCGTCCCTCAAAGTATTCCGACTGCTCCTTCATCAGCTGCTGCATCACCCCCAAGTAGTACTCATGAACGTGCTCCGCGTTCAAATCCAGCGCGGCCTCCTCTTCCTCCTTATCCCACCACCACCGACTGCGCCGATACGAGGAGGCTGTTACTCCCGTCTCACCCTTGTTGAAGCGACTGTTGGTAGGTGCATCTTCCGCAGCCGCCTTGAGAGCCTTTACATCATCCTCGTCCCCAAGCTCAATTGCCAGTTGGTGGTGCAGGAAATCCTTGGCGCGATAGTTCCAAATCCGGGATGTACTATTCTGCATCGCACATGAATGACCTGTGCTCTCGAAGTGATGCAAGGCATCGTGACGGTGACCCCGCCCACATGCCACCCAACCACAAACAAGACACGTCCACAAATCACTACAAGAGCCACAGGTATAGCACTTTGACTTTAACGACGCCATTGAAAAACGGCAAAGCGGACACGACTGGCCCACATCTTCTAGATGCTTACTGAAGCATGAAAGGTGAAATACATGTTTGCACAATGTCACAATAAAAGGTTTACTAGAAGCAATTTCTTGACAAATAGAGCAGAAGTCCTCCATTGGTGTAAGCAGCACTGAATGCGCCAAGTGACTTCCACCCTGTTGCTCTAAATTCCGCCACGCCATACTGCCCGGACAGCCGCCCTGCAAGTGGGTAGAGGCGGACGCTGCACCCCCGTGCATCACACTACACAACTCCTCCAAATCAATGTTTTCCTCCTCCAATCCTCCATGTTGCTTCCCCTCAATGCCAACACCGTCATAACCGGCATCCGTCTCAATATACGAGCTCTTCACCTTGGCCATCCCACAAACATGCTCCGACGAAGTGGGCGAGCTTCCCGTCAAGTTTGCATGCAGGAGCTTATTCTTGACACGTTTCGCATCTCTGGCGGTGTCAAACTGCAGCAACAGGCAGTAATTCTGCTCCTCCTCTGGCGTGCACCCAACACGAACCACACCAATACACCCATCCGCGGAGCGACTTCCCGGGCCGGAGCTGCCGCACGCACCATCTCCCCTACCACCTCGAGTCGTCGATGAACAGACTGAAACACACAAATTAAGACACTGTAGCGCCTGCAGTAGCGTTACATCAATGGGAATGGAACGCACAAGCAGCCATCGTGTCGGTTTTACACGCTCGTAGAAAAGCTCAACCACAGCCACCTTTTCCTTATCAAATAACACCAATACAGACACATCCACATTTGACATCGTCAGTACCGTTCCTGTGACTAATGAGCGGCAGGAAAAAAAAAAAAAAAAAAAGTCAACCCCAAAAGAAGACAAGCAACAAATTTAAAAAAAAGCGACGCAACAGGAACCACCAACCACACTCAAAATGCAGCCGTACCGCGTCACAACCACGCACAGCAAGGAAGAGGAAACAATCACCTCAATGTTCTCTTGAAAACCACAAAAAAAAAGGTAAAAAACAAAAGTAAAAAGATAAAAAATCAGAGAACGGAGAACCCCAAACACCAACCTTCTACCGCGAAGACACCTGCTGGAGCTTCGGGTTCCACATGAAGCCAAAACTCACGGTGCGGTGCGTCAACTGCTTGTAGACATGCGCAATGATTGGCAGACGCGACTCCACGCGTTTGCGATCACGCGAGTCGAGGAACACCTTCATCACCTTGGTGCCGTCCGTGCGGCAGCGCCAGCGGCGGCCCATGACGTCGCACGGGTAGATCAGGTCATTCAATATGTTCTCGAACACCGCCACACTCGTGCGGGAGCGCTGCACCTTCTGCAGCTTGTAGACGTCCTTCGGGCGCTTCGTGATTTTGCGCTGCGCCACAAGCACCACAATGCTGCCGGGAAAGCGCTTCTCGAGCTCCGCCGTCAGTGTGCGCTGGATCTTGCGCACCAGCATCAGGAACCGCAGCGGGTAGAAGACCACCGTGGCCGTCCGCCTGAAGCGCGGGCTCGACAGTGTGCGGACGGTGTTGATGTGAAATCGCGGCAGCTGCGTGCGGAGTGTCTTGTGAGTCGCCTCCAGCTCAAAGAGTGCCTTGGCAACGCTATCCTCATCCTCCGAAGGGTTCGGCCGCTTGAGCTTGCGGAGCTTGCGCAGGTGTGGCTTAACAGACATCCTGTTCCAGTGAAGAAGTGCCTTTTCGTGTCATGCGCACACACACACAGACAAAAAAAAAAAAAAAAAAAAAGGAAACGAAGCAAAAAGAAAGTGAGAAGCATCTGCATAAAAGCGGAGACCGCGGCTTCCCTCCAGCCGCTACTGTCGCTGGCCCACAGCATTGGCCGTTCAAACGTACCAAATACACATATAAATATATATTGTCAGGGCAAAAATAAAAAGAAACTCAACGCACCAAAAAAATCTGGAGAAAAACAAAACAAAAAAAAAAAAAGAGAGAAAAACGCAGCCCACAAAAAGATCGCACGCAGCAACATTGTCTGTTTTGTGTTTTTCCGCACACTCCCACCTACAGCGCCCATAGGAGCATACGGCCCCGTGCGAAAGGAACACAAATAAAGCCAAATCACAAAAAAGGTAAAAGAACAAACACAAAAAAAAAAAAATTGCCTACAGCAAATTGTGAAGACGGCAGTAGGCGTAGCGGTAAAGTGGGTCGACGTATGGCAGCTGCAGCACCGTGAAGATATCCTTTTCACTGCGCAATTCAACCCTCATGGGTTTACCTGAAGATCGCTGATACAGCCCGTCATGCGTCAGCTCATACTGTCTCGCATGTGCCAACAGCATGAGATGCGTCAAAAACGATTTGGGGCCGGTAAAAAAAAGGCGTCTCACCTGAAAACTCTGCGGCGAAGACCACAAAAGCATCAACTCCTGTTCCGTCTCCCCCCTGCGAGAAGAAGGCTCGGGCCCGCATTCTCGAGGGGTGCGAGCAAGGCACACGCACCGCGCCAAAACGCCTCCGCACACCCACATATTTTTCTTCGCGACACACCGAATGTAGCCGCTATTCGCAAGGCCCCTCAAGGCACGTTCAAAAAGAATCCGTTCGCTCTGTTCGTCGTCATTGGCGGTGGCGTCGTGACAACTGTTCCGAGCTGTAATTGTCAGCAAAAAGATTGCCCGGGTGCTAACGGGGCACCCACACCGCATCTTCCCTATCAGCGCCACACGGAATCCATGCGGTCCAAGTAGATGCTCCAGCGAGCGCTGGTGCTCCACCGCATCGTCATAGTAAACAGGCACTTTGCGTCTGCCGCGGAAACAGAGATCTCCCCCTCGTTGCTGGTCCATGCGCTCATACACAACATGACGCGCAGCCACGTTGCGCCAAGGCGTTTGTGCAAAACCCCGGCGTGAGGGACGCTGAGCACCAAACGGCGCGCACGCATCTGGGAGCTGTGCGATGTGCTTCGCCAATTTCAGATACTCCTGCCCATCACTTGGCGTAAAGTGTTGACGACTCAATGCGGCATGCAGCAGCAACTCCTGCACCACCAGATGGTTGGAAAGATGCAACGCGCATGGCCGTAAACGAGGCGGCATCGCCGCTTCCCAAAGCGTCTCTGGTGCCTCTTTCTTTTTTCCTTTTTTTCTTTTTTTTGTGTTTTTGGCGCCCGCTCCTCTTCGCTGTCGTGTAGGTCCCCTTCGAGGCCGGCAATGACTTCTTTACCCACGCTTTCAAAAGAAAAAGAAAAAAAAAAAGTTAGAAGAAACAATGGAATAAATGAAAAGAAATTCACTCACGCCAATGAGTCGCCAGCAAAAAAAAAAAAAAAAAAAAAAAACCTCGTACTCTCCCGCAAGTGAATATGTAATTCCGGCAGTCCAACTGTACATCCACTCTCCTCTTACATGGGCTCGCTGCACTATTGCCGGTGTCACCGACTTCTACTCCTCCTTCCCCCTCCCCCCAATAGGCGCAACTGCCAGAGCCACACAAGACTGCATTGGCAAAAAGAGAAGAGGGGCGTAAAAAGTAAAGCCGAAAGAGCGACCAATGAATGAAACAAAAAAAAAAAAACCGTGAGAACTAAAGTTTTAGCCCCCAGCACCGGCAGCCGCACTATCCCTTTTTCCAGTCGTTGGAGAGGACCGCCCTTCTCCCCTAATCGGCAATAGTCGTGCAAAATCACCACAAATAAGACGGCCACTGACAAGCTCAGAAATGGTGCGGCGAAATTCCCCACAGGAGACATCTTTCTCACATTCTGCTAACGGGGGTACTGGCAAATCCAACTCCTCCAGTAACGAAGTTAACTTGGCCCAGCTGTTCTCAAGGAGAGAAAATTCCCGCTGCAATTGGTGGAGGTCCTTTATTACAAGGTCCTTTTCGTACGCCAAGAGGTAACGCAGTTGCATGGAAGCATTGCATTTGACAGTTACGGTATCATAATGACCCTCGTACAGTGCGGACAAATCCTGCAGACAACGCGACCAGCACAGCGCGTTCTCTTTGGCATAGCCGACCATGCGGCATCGACGGTAGTGTTCTTCCTTTTTCAGACGTTCAATGTGCTGCCGACACTGCGCAATAAGTTCCGAGCGTAGCTCCTCTGACTGCTGCAAGGAGTCGGTTACCCATCGCAGCTTTCTTTCGGAATCGGCTGTGGGTAAACGTTCATCTAATAGCGCCTCAAGCTGGTTGTGGCTACAGTCCAGCTGCCGAAGCGCCAGCGTCTCCGCAACAACCTCCTGCATGAGACGCTCATATTTAAGCTGTTCCATGTGCCACTCCTTTGTGGCCTCCCGAATGCGTCGGGCAAGCTTTTCCTGCATGTCCTCGCTCTTCTTCAACTGGTATAATTTACCATGTAGAGAAGAATGCAAACGATCATGATCACGTTGATATTCGTTGTAAATCTCTTTTCTGGCAGCCTTGGTACTTTCAATTGCCTCCTTTAACTTTTCCAAGTATGCACAAACGTCTCGTTCAAGGTCGCCAAGCACCTGACGCGACTCAATGTCACAATCCTGCAGACCCTTCTCCATCCCATCTAACTGCAGGTTGGTGTTATCTGTGATGCTTTGTAAGGCACTGTCGCAGTCATTTTGAAGCACTTTCCTCTCTCGCAGCTCCGTTAGCAGTGTGCTGTACACAATCTCCACTGCTTTGTCACACTTGGATGGCGCAGCCGCGCGTTTGCTTCCCATTTCCCGCACTTTTTCCCTCGCCTCCTCAAACCGAAAAGCGGATGGTTTGTAGTTCTCAGCAAATTCACGCTCTCGACCTTCGCCTCTCGAATTCTCTGAAAGGTAGCGCGTGATAAAGGAGGAAATATGCCGAAATGAACGGTGGAGTGGCATGTGAAGGTAGCCCTTCTCAATCAACGCCTCAATCTCGGGAAAACCCTCTGATTGAACACGCTGGACGGCGTTGAGCAGGAGCGTAAGTGCCTTGGGGAGTTCATGTCGCCGTCGAAGAATGGGAGCAAAAAGACGGCGCAGAGGGTTGGGCGACTTGGTGGGGTCAAGCAGCTCCTTATCCGTCCTCCCCCATGCATTTGCCCTGTGTTTCCCCGGCATCGTCGGATCCGTGGCAGCAGCCGAAGGCGTAGGCGTTGTTGGCGGCGTAGGCTGCAAAACAAGTGAAGAGGAGTCGCCGGGTAATGCGTTCGAGGAGCTCATTTCATGAGATGCCTGTTCTGTGGTGTCCGCCGGCAAAACATCGGCGCCGGTCTCTCCACCCGCCCCGACGGTCTCGGTCGTGCGCAGCCCAAATTCCTCCGGTCTGGGGAAGTGGAAGCGCGCCGCCGCCATGTCGGGTGTCCAAAAGCGGTACGTGTCCACTTCCGCCAGGGTCTGAGGCAACTCCTCCTCGATGACACAACGACGCCGTTTGTTCCTCGCAATGACGTCCTCAACCCGCTTCCAGGAGACATCCAGTAGGCTTTCAATTGTCTCGGAATTGACTTGCTCTTCTTCTATGCAGCGCTGCCACAACCCTGTCGTTTCTGACGGCGTAAATGATTCCTTAAGGACTGCCGCGACCGCCTCCCTCATCGACTCGCCGGTGTCCACACCGTCACCGCCGTCCGTCTGCGCTGCGGCTGAACATGACGTGGCCGTGGTAGGAAGCAGCTGCCAAAAAAAAAAAGTGCTGGTGCTCGTTGGATTTGGTGGAGCACGTTTCTTCATCGTGTTCAATTCCGTCTGCCCTCCACTCTCTCTTGCAGCCACACTTAGACAATCCCCCTCTCTTTATGTACGTATATATATATATATATTATATATACTTCTCTGTCCTTGCACGCCCGTTTTTCCTCTTGTGGTGTCACCTTCTTCCCTCCCCTTGTCACTGCAGACCTTCAATCTGCCCACTGCCTCCCTCTCGCTCCTGCGAAGTGCGGCGAGTCCCACAAAAAGAAGGGAAAGAAAAAACACAAAAACAAAAAGAAAAAAGAGAACCCCAAATGTGGTGCATAAAAGGGAAAAAAAAAGCACGACGCACGCACTCAACCCCTTCACGTACCCCCTCCCTTTCGGTCAAAATTGCCCGTAGCCGTGACGATAAAAGGAATTCAAGATGGCGGAGTTTGAATAAAGAAGTAAAAAAGGGTAACAAAAAAAAAAAAAAGCTTTTTTTTTTTTTTTTCGATGTGCGAAGAAATATATATATATATATATATATATATATATAGAGAGAGAGAGAGAGAATAAGATAGATCGATTGATGCAAAAAGATCCCTGGGCTTGTGATGGGCTCTTGATCCACATCGCCGCCATTAGCAAGCGAACCGAATCAAGAATAAAACAAAAAAAAAAATTCGTACCTTCTCGTCTCTTCTATTCACATTGTCTTTTTCTCCTACCATCTTAATGGATAAAAAGTCAAATATGCGCACCAATATTACTTGAAAGACAATAAAAAGGCCGGTGATGTTGTCAGGTAAGACCAGATGTCGATGTTTACTGTGGATAATCTCTGTGGTGCTTTCCGTATCATTGCCTCCCACATTACTGGGAAAACATCTCCAGTGCGGTGGTATCGGTGGCCCACAATAGACCACCTGGATAAATGGCATCACACAACAGCGTCGACCAGACAAAGGGGCCAAAGAAGTCGTAGCTTTGTAAGGACTCCTCGTAGACGTAAAGAATCTCCCGAGGCCTCCATGGTGCAGTTCCAGCTGATCTGGCAGGGACCGACGTAGGTGAATGGTTCTTCACAGCTGGGATAGACCCCGTCTGCTCCCGTGCCGCACGCCGGATGACTCCCAATATGTCTTGATAACTCTCCGCCGAGGTGACACTTGCCAATTCTGTTTCGTAGTAGTCTGCAATGCGAAACAGTGGCACCAACGCCGCGTGTGCAGCCGCAAGATGTGAGCATGGACTATCTGCTGATATTCCTTCCTGTAGCTTTGAACGATTATAAAGCAGTTCATACACAAGTGAGTCGTTCTGTCGATCCTCACCCTGCAGCATGGCCTCCACCGCCTCCACCAACAATTTTAACTGACGGAGAAACATTTGACTCTCGGTATCCTCCTTCATTTCTGCCGCTCCCTCTCGAATGGTGCTTTCAGTTGTCAAACTGACCTCTTTTTCATCCATCTGAATAAGCCCAGAGGAACGTCGTAGCTTTCGAATAATTAAAACCAACAGCCGTATCAACTGCTGGGAAGTGTAAGCATCTATATCATAAATAAAGGGGGCCAAATTCGACAAACTAGGAACAAATACAGATGCCAAAGGTTCATTTCTTTCGTTCATTGCTCTGAGAATTCCATGAGCAAGAACCACAACGCACAAAGAAATAATCGACATCTTGCCACTAAATCGTCCTGCCTTAAAACGAGGTTCAATGATTGTATCGCTCATATTCCTGTTAAGTACTTGGTCCTGTGAGAAGAGTAACACCAGTGTACTGGTCATAAACCCAATAAATGGGTACGAAAATTGCACCATATCCTTCAGAAGCTGGGCAACACATTCTGGTGTTAATACCTCTCTGTAAATGAAAACCTGACAACTCTCAAGGGTTGTTGTGTTGGGATGCGTTGAAGAAATACTATTGTTACAAGCCATATTCCCTTCCCCGGTCTCCGTTGCTGCAATGTAGCTAAGATGAAGCACCTCTTGTATGACATCCAACACCTCCTTCGCATGAAGTGTCATTGTGGTGTGTAGGAACGTAGGATGATCGTATACAAGAACGTACAGCACAATACAAAGTGAAGGACACACCTTTAGTCGGTTAACAAAGGCAGTCAAAAGCGCAGCAAAAGGCACGGGATCCTCATTTTCTATTTTTTTAATATACTCCATAGCGAGATTTTGTCCATTCCCCTTTAAATGTGCCAGAAGCACAGCCAGCAGTTGAGCGCAATGTCGTCCCAAACTCTCTCTGCAGCTGATGGAATTATTACCCTTTCCGTTGCCAAACACGTTGTACATGTTTCGCAGTGATGGTTTATGGCCGTCACGATACAAAAACGGAGAGGGTGAAAGACGTCCCGACCCCCACTCTACCAATCGCTTCAGCAGGGTTGCGATAAATGCCCCGAGTCCCTCATATGACATCATGATCTCCGTGAACACATCCATATGTTTTCCATCAAAAGTCGTGCTGTGATAGAGGGCAGAAGAGTTCATGGACAATAATAGGCTTACCACCTCATTGTGGGCCTCCGCCGTCGCATACGTTACCGGCACGGAGACGCAATAATCCATCAGTGCACAACACACCTTATTTGCCTCCGTGGATGTCCACTGCGTGGTCGTCGCACCGTCTGTAACGCGTGGAGCCTTCCCCATGATGATGTCCAACAGCTGTGCGGCATCCCCGCGCGATACCTGATGGGCGTAACGAACGACAAACTCCGTGATGTGTAGGGTGGCGATAAACGCATCGCTGTGGCCCTGATTGTAGTTGCACGAGGCTTGCTCCAGCTGTTGCAGACAAAAGAAAAAAAGCCATCGCACCCGTTGAGTCTTTACACATAACGGCACTAGCTCCCGAAGAACAGGCAAAGACGCCCCGAAGTATTCAGCACCAAAGCAAATGTCTTTCTTGTAGCGCGTCAAACGCTCAACAAACTCCTTCTCCTCCGGATCGGCCTCGGCACACGCCACATCCGTGAAATACTGCACAGCCTCCTTCGCCTGAGCCCCTCCCATCTACATGCAGGCGCACTCAAAGAGAGGAAGGACAAAAAAAGAAAAAAGGCGCTAAGAGACAATTCTACAATTCCTTTTCACAATATATATATATATATATATATATGGAAATTAAGACTACAACTCTTCTTCCACTTGCAGAAGTCTCCGCAAGACACACACACACACACACAGAGAGAGAGAGAGAAGTAAAATATTCGGGAGAGAAAAAAGAAAAAAATTTTAAAAAAAAAGGGAAACACAACCGCAGCACGACGACAGCAGAAGCAGACAATCACCACCACCACCGCCACCCAACTCCTCAAAAACAAGAAAAAAAACCCACAACTCCGTCCACTTGTGCAGCGCTGAGGGAAGGGGGCAGGGGGGAAATTTCAGATAGAAATGCTTAAAATCACATAAAAATGAGAACAGCACAAAACGCACAAACGGATGCCGTCATTCCGCTTCACCTCCTTCCTTCTCGCTGTCTCTTTTTTTTTTTTTTTTTATTATTCGTCCAGTCCCTTCACACTGCAGTTATTTCTTTTCGCTTTTTTTTCTTTCCCCCTTTTTTCCTCCTGTGGCGAAGCAACTCATCCGCCCTCCGACGCTCAACTCTGTGCCAAGCACAGTCCTCCCATTCCCCTTCGTTCAGCTTTCCACCCCCATCCCTCGCACTTCACTCGCACACGCACGCACAATAAACTCCGAGAAGTTTTACTTCGTGTTTTTCTTGCGTTGCAGGAGCTCTTGTCTTCGGCGTTCCGCACGGTTACGCGGAATTGCAGCCCCCTCCGAGCTCTCATCGGCGGAGGGCTGACGGCGCAGCAACAATGGGCCAATAAAAGCCCAGACTTGGTACAATGCCATTGCGGGAATGGGAAGGTACAAGAGAAAAAAAGCCCAGTGAAACATATAGCACAAAGGTTCCACAACCCAACAGACCCACAGTAAATCCTGTGCATAGGAGTACACACCCAGTTCGCTGGGATTAGAAGCATCCGGGCACTCCAGCAGCTCACCGGTTGAGCCACAAGTGGGTTCGCAAACGCCTTCAAGAGAAAAAGCG